CGCGGGGCCGGAGCTGTCCGTGGGGGTGCAGCGGACGGCACATCCTGCCTTAGGCCGCCCGCAGCCGCCCGCAGCAGTGCAGCGCGCGGCACCCTCACGGACGACGCGGACCGTCGCGGTGCTGCCCCGTGCGGGGCTCTGCCACCAGGACCACCACGTGGAGGCGGGGGAGACGCGTCAAGGGTCCGGACGTCAATTGGAGGGACTGAGCAGACAACGGGAGCACCAGGCAATGAATGGGGGGTCACGCCGGCTGCGGACCAGCTGGCGGCCAGGAAGAAATGGGCCTGCCTAGCAATCAGTGCTACTCACGGCCTGCGCCCAGGTGATACAAGACGCAATCGAAGAGCGTCAGTTTGCGCACCAGGGCGGTCTCCTCATCGGCCAACATGCTCCGCATACCCTGCGAAGCAATATTAGCGTGCTACGACTAACAGAGCAACAAGCGAGATAGGGCCCGGTAACAAAAGGGTAATTACCGCGATCCGATCTATGCACATGGCTCGCGAGTAATGTGGCTGCCACTCCATTGCAACTTGTGCGGGGGTGGATCAAGTCCAACAACCAACACCGCGAATTGCACCCGCCGCGGCAACAGCCACAACAAAGAGCGGGAGAAAGGGGGAAAGTGGGGGGGGGTGAAAATAGGAGTGACGATTCTGATTGATGAGGAGACTACGACCCAGGCTGGGGCCACGTCACGTCCCCGCGATACGCCCTGCGCCCTTCAGGCGGAGATACCCGCCCGCGACACATGTCTGTTCGTCGGTCTTGCCACAGCGGCGGAATGTCATTATTCGGAGAACATGGTGGTGTAGTTGTAGGCAGTGGCAACACAATCTTATCGCGATCGTGGCTGTACCGTCACACGTGTGACTGTAAGATCTAAAACCCCGCGCACGGGAACCAGAAAGAGCATCAGTAGTGCGGTTAACGGAGAGGGATGAATAGCGAGTAGAAACACAAACGTCCCCGATTGGTCGAAAGTTTCTGCCGCTACGTCACGCTGGTAGTGGGGATAAAGGCTCGACCAATCAGGAACCTTCATTCCCTAACCTCGGTTGCCGCGGAAACACCACCCCGGGCCGTTCTCCGCAGAGCACGCAGAGATGTCGCCCCCACTGGTCTCCGTCATGGCTTGTGAAGACTGGCTCTTGGTTCGACAACTACACGTTACTACTAAAGAGACCGTGAATAATCCTGTCCCTTTACTGATGCTGAATGCTCCCATCACTGCTCTTATAGGACGAGTTAAAGACTATACGTAAGGCGAGGTCGGATTTGGATGGGCGTCAGGCTATCGCCGAGTCAACGCTCTACTACCTGCGGGAGAAACGTAAGCCCCCACCCCCTCCCACCCTTTACCCTCCCCAACTGAAGCGTCCTGCTAGCTAAGTCACACACGTGACGCATGACTCTATGTGCGACTGGGCAGGTGGAGCTCGACGGGAGGCTCCGCTGCCTGCGGTGGCAGAGTTCAGCGGGAGCGGGGCGACTGCTAGGCCGTGGACCACTCGCCGGCAGGCTGCTGCTGCGCCGCGGGGAAGTGCAACAGCACCGGGTGCAGCGCGTGCACCTGCCGCGCGGCGGGCTGCACCGCGCCAGCTAGAGGACTCCCCACCGACTGCTGGCCCGCGGACTCGACCGCGAGGCAGAGGCGCTTCACCTGGTGCTGCAGGTGTGCCCGGCTCG